CAAAAAAAAAACTGCATTTTGCCATCTTTTAACTACCGATATAGTTTAATGTGATCATTCTCTCTACTGCTTCATTGTAAGAGAACCCCCAAACGAGTGGTGGAAGAGCGTAGGGCTTCCTTAAGGGGCGCTCACACAAGTTGGGCACGCAACCCGCTACACGAACAAAAAGAAACCGTCTGCGCTGCTTTAGGATCGGTAATGCATCGTAAAGTATAAACCAGTGACCCCTGATAATAAATAAGATGCTGGGTCAAAGACAATCGAATGGATATATTTTTTTTTAATAAGCATTCTTGAGTAAATTGATCGAAACTGGAGATGTCGAAACAATGTAGTCATTCAATTTGCTTAATAACATTTACTTATTACAAAAATCCACTTAATGCCCTTTTATATACAATATGCTATATATATTTTTAAGCAGTCGCTCAGGTTATGAAATTGCTGTGTGAAAAGCTCGCGGTGTATTGCCAAGGTTATTTCCATTGAAACATCCAAGTGCATCTTTAATTATTGATTAGTTTGGGTTGTAAAGTGCTCATTGTATTTAATGATGATAATTTTATGTCTGACTGCACTAATGTGCAAGTGTGTGGCTTTAAAAGCGAGACATTATGGGTGCTTTGGCCTTGAAAGTCAGGGCACTTACTCTGAAACGCACATTTTTAAGCCCGGAATTCAGAAATGTGCAAAAAATTGCTTTGTGTTATTTGTCAAATTATAGACCAATGAATAGCACAGTTTGCGCGACATGTTTACTCTTCCGCCAAGGGCCTTCATCAATGCAGCATTACAGCTTCAAGGATGACATCTGGGTCAGAGATCTGAACAAATACACCTTATCGAGGTGGCTTATCAGCCATGTCCATCTAACACTCCGGTATTAAACTACACCCCAGCTTAGTACCAGAGTCCAGCTCTAAGGTGTTACAATCTCTCCCCACCACTTTCTCCTTTTCGTTTCATACTTTCACCTCAAAGCATTTCCACTGCACAACACCTCAATTGGCATGGTGAGACAGTCCCCACGTGCGTCGTGTCCTGGGTGTGCGTATGAGTACCGCAGATCGAGTGAAGAGGCTGCATGCGCCTGAGCCATCACTGTCTCTGCATGTATGTATGTATGCATGCATGTTGAATTTCTTTCGCACCGTACGTAGCCAACTGTGCTAATCGTAAGTGCGGGGGAAAGGACAACTAAACAGAAAAAAAAACAGTTCTCATTCGACTGAGATAAGTCACCGAGAACAGAGGATGATAAGCTTGAGCCATTAGGAGTTTTGATTTAAACCTTTCTTTTTAGTGGTATTAGGGACAGCTTTGTGCCAAAGCAGTGAAGGACATATACACTACTAAGAGGTAAGAGCTGTTAATGTACCTTCAACTATGAAGTGCCTAACCCTGTTGCCTATATTTATCAATCAGGCCAAATGCAAATATAGGCAAAGCAATATTGCATACAAATGATCACCCGTGTTCTACACATGCAATCTGCATCCAATAACAATGGATAAAACAAAACAAGAAATGTTTCACATGAAAGGCGATCAAATTGTATCCAGAACAGGCCAATTAAGTGCCTAACAAAAAGTCACGTAAAAAGGGGAATATATATTTATTTTTGTCTTTCTACGTGACTTTACCGAAAAAACCATAGAGTTATTCCTGCAGTCACGAAAGCTTCAAATCAAGATTAATATTACATGTAACCTATTTGCAGCATAAGATGGTCCAAAGTGGCTAAGGGGGGAACCACCTGAGGCGTTCCCAGGGCCTCTAAGAATGTCAAGGCTGAGGGGACAAGAACGCTGCTTTTTCAACATCACTGATTTGTAACTAGTCAACTTTTACGGGTATGATGTACAAGAGTATTTGATTTTTAGTGACGTTAAAAAGAAACACGTTTAGCCAAATGAGGACACGCACCTCAGATGATGGACACCACGGAGGTGGAGCAATGAAATCAGCAAATGTTCAGGAAATATTGTGGATTATTGCATTTGAAAAAAGTTAATTTTTCTACGTAACATAGTAAGTCAATTTGTTGGTTTGGAACATTTTAATCGAGTCTATTATGTTTGAAATTTCACACTGTGTGTGATGAACACAAACACAGCCAGGAGAGACGAACTAAGCGAGGGATATCAAGGAGCGTGTGCAAGGCTGCTTCTAAGCGAGTCACGTGGGCCATTAAAGTGAGCCCAGGTGGCCCAATTTTGGACTTGGGTTTGGCCGGGCTGGTGCCGTGGGAACGTGGCTCTCCAGTGTCGGAACCAAGCCGGGACGGAGCTAGCATAGGTCCCACTGCCTGTTGAAATGAGGCCTCTCTGGTCCTGTACCTTATGACAGCCGTTGACACAAACAAACAATCAGACGGGACGTAGAAAGCACATCGTTTGCACAGTGTGCTGTTAGAAGTTGAAATGAGTGCAGCCCAGTCACCTGGCATGTGTTTTTCACATTCCACACACCATTTGGTTAAATGATTTAGTGCTCCAATCTAATGCACATCACCTTTGAAGGTCACACCCGATGTGTGAACGTAAATTTTGAAAGAAAGAAAAAAAAACAGTTTGTGATCTCTGTGCCGCACTCACCTGTGCAACAAAGGCGAACAAGAGATGGCTGCTCATGGTTAGCATCGAATATGAAAAAAATGCCTCTGTGGTTAGGCAAACAAACAATTGCGGAGAAGAAAAAAACAATTTTTGTTACGTGTGACAATGTGATGCTTTAGTGTAATTGGCAGTGCTCCATAAGAGTTCGCTCCTAATTGTACTACAGCAGTGGGAGATCATTAAGTTACACAAAACTGTGCAGATATTTTCCAAGGTCTCATTATTCTGAATCCTATGGAGCAAAACATATGGTGCAGGTAAAATTTAGTAAGAATTTATTCAATGTTTACAAGCACTTTGCGGTTTCAGGCTGAGCAAACTACCATATTTAATTAAGTACTGATGAAAGTCTACTCACCGAACTGTTGACTAATTTTCAGTCCTGGGATAAAATTGGGCCAAATTACCAGGGAGAAATATAAGGCACACACACACATAATGTCATTATTTATGAAACTTATATTAAGCTTGGGTTACAGTAAGGAATCCTCCCAGTATCCACAGCTCCGAAAGATTAAATGATGAGGTCTTCACTCCAAGGTCATTCTAACCCTCGGAAGAGTAATCTAACATCATTATATGACACTAATGTCTAAACTCTCAAGTCCTACACACTTTATCATAAGTGCCGCCAGTGTACTAGTGATGTTTATTAACTAAAATATCAGGGGATGCTTGCAGACTGCAGAGAACCATTTAACCCACAATGCCTGAAAATGGTGAAGTTAAATTATAAATGTGTGGCCTTCTGCTCGCAAACACGACACTGGAACACTTTTTTTTTCCTGTACGGCACTGTGAGTTGCCACGGCCCCTGATGACGCACTGTTGTTGTTTACCCTGAAGGAAATCACCATCTACATGGTGTTTTAGAATTATTTTCGGAATGAGGAATTTTGACTTAACTTTCGTGACTGCAGGAATTCATATTTTTTGGCTCTTTTGGAAAAGTGACGTAGATAGAAAAGTAATGAAAATGAAGTGAATAAAAAAGTACAAAAATAAAAAAAACACAAATGTAGACTGTAGCCTCGTTCTTAATCAGAGTGAGTGTACTGGAAATCTATAATGTAGACTGTAGCCTGGTTCTTAATCAGAGTGAGTGTACTGGCAATCTATAATGTAGACTGTAGCCTGGTTCTTAATCAGAGTGAGTGTACTGGCAATCTATAATGTAGACTGTAGCCTGGTTATTAAGTTTGGTGAGTGTACTGGTAGTCTATAATGTAGACTGTAGCCTGGTTCTTAACCTCGGTGAGCGTACTGGCAGTCGACAGTCTACATGATAGACTGCCATCACTGATTTGAAACTATTCAACGTTTACGGGTATGATGTACAAATAATTAGATTTTTAGTGACGTTACAAAGAAACAAGTTTAGCCAAAGGAGGACACCCACCTGAGATAATGGCCACCACGCGGAGGTGGTGGCCATTACTTTACCGAAAGAACCAAAGAATACGAATGAGGAATCTTCATTTCCACTTTGCTTGGTGTATGGTGTACTTCTCACTTTACCTTCAATGCATTATCACAAACCATACTGGAAGTCTCGCTGGTGCTTGGATAGAGTCTAGGCCTCTAGGGTACGGTTTTTATATGGAGCCATGTTCTTCCAGCTTTCCTTCTTTCCTAAACTGCAATCCAATAACACCTCAAAACAAAACAGATTTTGGGTTTAATTTGGGGGCGGTGGAGGTGGTGGTATTATTATTATTAGTTGCATGTTATTAGAGGGCAGCTATTTCAAGAAACTGTCTTTAGCTTTAACCAACAGAGAGGTCACCTTAGCATGACTGATAATCTAAAGCAGTGGTTCCCAACCTGTGGTACGCATAACCATGGGTGGTAAACGCAACATCGGCTGGGGGGAACACGCGAGGCAAGTCACGGAACGAATGTGGTCATGTGAGGTTACTCGGCAGTGCGTGTGCGCCCTAGTAATTCTGAAGCTGTATACTTATCCGGTAAATCCGTGCACTTGGAACAATTTGTTCATACACTTGCTCTGCCCAGTGTGTTCTCTCGTTTACCAAATGCGACGTACTTTTATTTTACACAAAGTAAATAACTTTTAATTGTTTTTTCAAGTGTAAATATAAAATTGCGCATGTCTAGTTGTCATTTAGTTATTCAGTGTTAATCGAATGTCTTCGGTGTTCATTACGCATTAATAGAATTAAAATGTATTTTTTTTATATATATAAAAAAAAATCGTTACAGCAGATATACAAACTGTATGCTGGTAGGGGTAAGTGGACAGCTGATACGTCTGCTCGAGGTATACGAAAAGCAAAAAGGACGGTAGCCTCTGCTCTAAACAAACTTGATCGAAGTCAATTTCAAGGCGTAAGTTTCCCCGCCGCCACTTCTACTCACCCGAGTGTGGTTTTCTGGGTTGAGCTGCACGCTGAGCGTCTCTTCTCGCAAGCTTTCCCCCACGCACGACTGCGGGCATTCTCCCATCCGACTCCTGCTGACAATGCCCGCATGTGAGCATTAACTCAACGCGCAGCCCCCGAAGCCAGAGAGACACACTTGGTTGCTGCGTGCAGTCGTTGTTTAAATTTCTCCACTGCAACACATTCAACGCACGGTAGCGAAGCAGAATGCCCAAAGGGAAGCACTTTCCCCGTAAATATAGTTGAGCATTACTCAACATTACCAACACTAACCCTAACAAACCACAAATGCGCGCAGTTATTATGAAACAATAAGTGTTAACACATTTTGGCTCAGTTCATTTTAGGGTGTTTGCCAATTACCCAATGAAATTCTTTATATTTTACAGGGGAATTACTTCAGGAAACTGGAAGAAGGGGGAACAAAAAAACCTCTGAATCTAATTTAGTTTTGCCCAAGGAAATTATTTTTGGCAGTGGATATTGCTATTGTAGAGCATTCAAAGTTAAGTTATTATATAAATTACAACCATTGGTGTAATTTAAAATTGTTCAGAAAAACCACAGTATTAGCCACCCCCTCCAACATATTTTTGCGTTTCATCACAAAAGCAGCGATATAGCCAATTTCACTTCTCAAACATAAGACCTGCAACTGGCATTTCCATAAGATTGTCGGTTTTCTGTGTTTATTTCATAGGCAATAACTTGACAAAATAAGGAGATCTTTCATACGAAATTGAGATCCGTTTCTCACAGCCTGTTAACATGACAAAAATAACCTCAAACATATCTTCGAGAGAGGTCAACTGTTTTGAGGGTGGATTGTGCAGGGACTTCGAAAACCACATTCAATGCAGAAGTTACATTTCCCTATACACAGCGTAGTTTTACTAAGATCAGGTAATATTGCAGAGTTAATACTGTACACAAAGGCACAGAACAACAATAAAATCACTTATTTATCCAGGATAGCCTTACTTGTCTAAAGACTCTTTTCCAAGTGGGTGCTGCATTGGGTTTTTATTTTAACATTTTTTTTTAGCCAATGGATGAGTGTTTATATATGCGGGCGGAAACCGGAGCACCTGGAAAAAAAATCCACGCATCAAGGGGAGGCGGGGGCGGGGGGAACATTCTATCCCTGTCCAGATGGAACAGATGGAGAATCGTCCATACTTTGCTGCACCTCCTTCTTCTGGCAAGCCAGGGATTGGCACCTCAACTCCCACGAGGTAGGACGTTTTCCCAGCACTTGTGTGATCAACCAACTCTCGCATCTGTAGTGCTGGGCTACAGGGTTTCGCCACCAATGCCAGCTAAATTACAGAGTGAAATTATGTTCCTGTTCACGCGAGCACAGAAGAGTGCTCATCTCCTGATGAGCACTCAGTGTCGAGCTATTGGTGAACATTCCACATTCTTAGGGTGGTTGTATGTACTCCAGGGAATAATGGGCTATATCAAAACCTGACTGGGATTTGATCTCGCAACCTTCTGATCATGATCATCATTAGCAATGATCTATCCACTGGTGAATGAAAGCCACCCTCAGCTGTCACTATCAATCACGGTTATGCAATGCAACAATCCATCTGGCTCCTGCACACAAGCTAATCTCATTGCTCCATATCCGCAATGGACCCAGGCATGTTCACTCTGTCGCTAGTCTTGAGCACGGGCCATCATCTCTCTATAGTGACATGTTCTGCCCAAACACATGTACTTTCCTAACCTCCAATATGATGTTTATGTTGTGTCTCTCAACGTACTTTGAAGCGTGCAACTCTCTCAGCTGCTCTGTGCTGTGTGGCTGAGTAATGTATAAATTGAGGGATTACAATACACCCAACATTACATTGCTACAGCGAACAATTTTTTTTAGTAACTATTATAAAAAAGCGACTAGTCTTCGTGAGAATAAAAATCCTACTGTGATTAAATAAAAGCTCCATAAACAGATCTCTATTTTATTTGCTCGCTAGAACTTATATGATGAATACAAAACAACTGGGATATAAATAAAATGTTTAACATGAAAACTACATTTACAATGAATTTTTTTTGCTAATTAGGATACCAATTCGATCATGCAGTAAGTATAATCATAAACATTTTTTTTATCCAACACTACTGAACTTTTAAAAGACGCGTTATGTTGTTTTTTTACTGATATTTGCAGCGTCTTTTCAGAAAAAAAAAATACATTAGTGGCTTCTCTTTGCACATTTTTTTTTTAAGTAAGCATAGCTGGCATAAACATGTTTATGCTTTTTTGCCTTTTGTGTGAAAATACGTTCGTACATTTATAATCTATTATATAAGGATTGTGATATAACAAATCATATTTTTGGTTAAAGGTTGCTTTTTTCTTACAGATAGCATAACACACTCATTATTTTTTTCAACCCACAAAACCACTCTTCATGTTGGCAGGCTTTCCTTTTAATGAAGACGCGTTACAAATGACCACTCATAATAAATGAGGTGGCTGCTAGATTTTTCAATTTCCCCAGAGCTGAGATTTTGCTTTTATTTCCTATCAAGAGGTAGCATCATAGATGATCTGATAGTTAAAAGTGCTTGCAGTATGTTCAAGCCTTCTGTACACAAAATACATAACAAATATTCCATAGGTTCAAAGGATAATTTAGATATGAAAAATTTCATACAAATATTTCCCCGAAATAGTATTATCAGGTATACTTTCATTTTGTTTAATCCTTTGCGTCTTGGTAGGTTTTTTTTTTACTTCGCAGCATTAATCTCCCTGTTTGTAACAGGTGGGAATGAAATCCTAAACCCGACTTCAATCAGTAGCGCCAAGCACGTACACTCAGGAAAAAAGGTGTTTTAACATGAAAGCTTGTTGCTCATTCCTCGGCACACTTGACACATTGCACATTGGCTAAAACCCGATTTCTTCAATGTGAAAGAAGTCGAGGTTTTTTTTTTGGCATTGTGTAGCTTTTCAAACACTGTAATTTATAATTACCATTTTTGAAAGTGCCAGATGCACAGATTGGATAGAGGCTCATTGTGCCCGAAAAAAACACACACACACACCAAACTAAATTTAGCGATTTACTTTGGCGGAGGTATGTGCTTTGAGTAATATTTTTTAAACCAATGGTGGTTACAGCTGATTTCACATCATACTGTGGACCAAGCCTTAAAACAGGCGGCAATTATTTTGTCTCTGTAATTCAAACTGGGCAGCCAAGGACTGCAGTGAGCCAAGCCGGAGTTTCCAATCACACCAAAAAGAAGAAGAAAATACGGTGCCACATCTAACGATGCACACACACACGCACATACGCTTCGCTTTTTGCGTGTTCTGAGTGTACACGTGTGCAATGCACGGCCTTTGTTGGTACTGTTTATTCAAGCATACAGGTGAGACAGTTATCGAGAGCGCTCTAACTTTTAAAGCAATAAATAACAACACTGCGGGAGACACGGGGAGGTGGGTGACACTTGTGCCTCACAGCAAGCAGGACCCGGATGCGATTCCTGATTCGGGCAACTTTTCAGAGCTCAGTTTGAATGTCCTCCCATAGCTAGAGACATACAATATATAATTAGTGTCGGCCAAACATTCCAATGCAGGGTCCCCTGCTGCAAAAAAAATATTATTCAGACCCATCTTCTTTGGTTCTTTCGGTCCTCCAGACAGTCTCGTCCCTTCACCTGATGAAGGCCGCTTGTGTTGTGGCCGAAACGTCGTGAGAATTTTATTGTGTTATTTTATTTTATCAATTTATTATTTTATTCTCATTCTACGTGACTTTACCGAAAGAACCAAAGAAGATGAATCCTTGCAGTCACGAAGGCTTTAAATCGATATTCAGACCCAGTTTGGCTTTCCTGGGTAAAGATACGTTCTTATTATCCGGATCAGTTAGCTAACGAAACACAATGCTTTGGCAATAGACGCCACCACAAGCCATGTAGAGAGAAAGAAATGTTGATAGGTTAAGTCTGGGTCTTCTTGATTAAATAAAAATAAAGTGTTAACGTCATTGTTTTCTGAATACATGTTAGTTGATAATGAACTGCAGAGTAATTTTTGCCACATCCGATTTGAGATTCATGCCTGTGATACGCTATATATACAATTTACAAGCCAAATTATTACACCCTTATGAAAGAACATTTAATTACTTTATAGTCCTGACAAATATTAAAAGCATATTTAGGATGCAATGCATTGCTGTGAAACTCCGTGGAAACCAGGATGACGTATCAAGACCAACGAGTTTTTTTTTTCATTTTAAATGTGGAGGGAGTTGGGAAGTATTGAGTTTTTTTTTTGTTGGCGAATATGCAACCTTTGACAACAGCAATTAAACAAAAAAAACATGACATTTTTGACCCAAAGAGTTCCATTTTATTTTGTTACTGAGCAAGTACTCAAGGAGTTTATTTGCCTAACAAAAAACTGGAGAGCATCATGCCTGAAGGTGAGCCTGATATGAAAAAAAACCGGCGCAATGGCACATTGTTCGGCGAAGACTGCACGAACCTATCTGCAGCCGCAATGCCCTACGATCTAGCAACACAATCCGCGGCTCATTTGAGGGGGACACCGTTTCAAGTGATATCCAGCTGCCAGTTTGAAGTATTTCCTTCGCTGGGACGTTCAGTAGCTTCGCAAAAAAAAAATGTGCAACACAGGGCTCGCGCAGCAATTGACTGGCGCAAACACCTATCCTTTAGAAAGGACGAATCAATCACTGGCTGTGTGTGAGCCCTCGTTGCAGCCGTTCTAAAAGGTGCAAAAGAGAACTTACTGGGTCTGGTGCGCTATCTTGTGCCAAACTACCACCCACAGCAGGGCTGCTCATATTCACTGCCTGAAGCGAGAAGATCTCCCGGAGCAAGCTGCCTGTTCCTGCGTCCGTCTGTCCTATGCCGTCATGCGGTCGGGGCTGGTTGGCACTTCCACCCCCCTCGGGACTCGATAATTATCCACAACGGGGCGTTTGGAGGCTGTGTTTCGTCCGGAGCCAGGAGGGCTGGATAATGAGCGCCAACGTCCCACGCGCCTGATGTCTCAATCCAGCGCTAATTAAGCCT